ATTAGACGCATTGTTTGTTGCATCATTTTCACAGTTTTTTATTATTTACTATTGTCTGCGTTGCCAATTCGATCTTCTCTGAGCAGTTCCTTTTTTGCGTAAACTTTTGCTGTTTAAGATCATTCTAATTGTTATTGTAACTTAATAACAAATCCCGATTGATGTTCCGCAAGAATGTATTTTGAAATGTGCAACAAATAAGATTTGTATCTCATTTCATTACGAACTAAAAATAATTGTTCAGTATTTCAGCATTCATCTCACTGTCATTATATTATTGCTCGATTCTACAGCTGATATGTGTATACATGTTGTTTGGTTCTGGTGTATGTATTCGCCTTGAAAATAGATTTCGTTTAAGAGTTTTGCCAATGATTCGGTGCTTATTCACGACCTCAGTCTAAAATCAAGAATTGGATACTAATTTCATTAAGTAATTGCTTCTGGTAAAGATCAAGAATATCGCGACGTAGTGTGGCAGCAGTACTGTAGATCTCTGAAAACGGTTCTGAATTGCTCACCGAAGCTGTGCAAAACCGTGATTGCTATAGTGTTCTCACAATAGTACAAAGAATATAGGCGAAGTACCAAATGTTTTGGCAATGGGCACAATACTAACTGATGCACATGTGGCGTGCAGTAAGCGACAAATTGGCTGGTTTGTTGTGATTGTATTTCTAAGAGTTTGTGATTATACAGCCATATAGGTCAGAGAGCGGATGTGGGAAGAACTCTACGACGAGCTTTGCGCCTCACCTGACTGTAGAACCTGTTCAACAAACAAAATAGATATCGTAATACTGGTGTAAGGAACGGCATACTTATTCTGGTATTCAGCTTGGCATGAAGAGGAAGGACCTTGCAATTAGACACAATCCACTGGATGAATTTCTACTGTGAGGTTGTAGTGTAGTAATACATTGATCATCCAGTGCACACTGATGTGAACCATTCGTCAGAATGCTTAGTCAGAAATGGAAAAGGTCTGCACAACATAAAATAACATGGAAGTCGGTTGACCTGCGCCCCCATAGACAAGTGGCAAGGTATTGCACGCGTAAGCTCGAGTTAGGGGCGGCTATAATATAATTGCAAGTAAACGCTTATTTCGTGGTTGTGTTGTAGTTATCGCAGTACATCGTTATTGAACGCGTAATTTTGGGCAGTCGAGATATGTGTATAAGAAGTCTTAGCTGTTTGGAGGTTTGGAATCGATTATAAGTATTCGAGTAATTGGTTAATCTGACCTGAATGCAGCAGTCCGTGTTGGAATTCTGCCGTTCGAGGAGGTCGATCAAGTTGCTCACAAAAAGAATTCATCAGTGTACAGTGTGGTCAACAGTTTTAAGCAGCGTAGTTAGAATTCAATGTGGTCAGTAGCAGTTCGAAGCAGCGTGATCAGTGCACAGTGTGATCAACAGTTTGGAGCAGCACTTACAAAGAAGCCATCATATCATTTCCTACACTCAATATTCTACCAGGATTGTATTACCTATTTCGTTCCATACGAAATAGGACTGAGAAACAATCAGAGGGAGTTTCTTACCTTTAGAGATTCAGGAACACGATTACCGGCCAACCCCTTCTCTCTCTGGTTAGGAATCAGCACAACAGGTGAGGGCTAAGGGGATTTTCATCGAAGGTCGGAGTTTCGAAGAAAAGGGAAGAAATCGAAATTGGTCGTGTTTTTGCTCCACTTATTCCCAATTTGTCAAGCGGAACTCCATTTCCGTAAGCATCCCTCGTCAATAGTTCTGAAATATCTCATGCAAAAAGAACCTGAAGTCTGTGCAATTTGCATGTGAGCGTTTTCAGTAGTTCTACAGATGGCTAATCTAATCTAACATAGTACATCCTTCCGGAATGTGCTCCAGATGACATCGATAAATTTTTCTATTTCGATTCACTCTATTCCACTTAAGCCATGATTTTTGTCTTAATGTAACATTTTATTGCAATATAACTAACATTTTAAAATCTTTTATTTCTGCTAAATCTTCTGCTCTTCTGCTTTTTTCTGCAAATTTGATTTTTGGTGCCGCTGAAAAAAAAAGACGATTTTCGTGACCACCGAAAATCAAGGGTGTCCGAACGCAACCGAAAGGCAGTGTTCGATCGGTGGCCGTGGCAAACCGAACTTCAATTATCACCGACTGGAATCGACCGGTCCTCAAAATTTGCCTGTCGGTGGTCACCGATAGGCATTTGATCGGAGGCCATCGCAAAAAATCTTGCGGTTCCCACAACTAGTGTAAAGAACAACCGATAGAACAGCATTTCTCATCAGGGGTAAATTACCTCCTGCGGGATAATTTAAGGGTGTCAGGAGAATAATTGAGAATATGAAGGAACTTGTTGATAAATCTGAATTTATTCATCGCTGATGAATGTTTTTTTTTTCATTGCTTTTCGTTGTTAATTATTGAGGTTCATATTTTTTGTGCAATTCATAAATAAAGTTCTAAAAATACTTGTTTCATCTCAGAAAATCAATTTCTTTCATTTCACCGAGGAAATTTCAGATCAGTTTTCGATTTGCTCGTGACTTTATGCGTTGAAATAGTGAATTCTTGTAGTGTGTGTAGGGGGCGGAAGAGGTATTAACGCTCTGTCAGACCATCAAGAAGGATAATGAAGTTTCAAAGCGTGACAAACACTATCACTGAACTTATTGAACGTGGCCGAACACTAATACACACATAAGAAAGTGCAAGAGGACAGGTAGTGAATTGATTATGAATGCCTTTCGGCGTTTCATTTCTTCGCGTGGTGTTGCAAGACAAAATATGCTTGCATATTTCTCCATGATTAGTTTAATTCGTTAGTTGATTTGAGCATACTTTTTCTTCACAGGAGCCTGAGGAAATGCAGCGCTATCTTGCTCAAGAATCAGTTCATTGGATGCTTGTTCCTTGCGCAAGCGATTTGCTAGGCGACTTATTGTAGGATGCGTTATTGCAAATACCCTATGCCATTCCTCGATCGAATTATTCGTACGCGGAAGATCCTGTGATACTTTTTCGTACACACTCCACAATTTTGGCGCAAAAAGCGGTTGTCTTCTCCGCCTTCTGTGCACAATCCCAATCCATGTCGATTCAAAATATACCAGGCAGGAAGTCTCTGAGACGAGCAATGGAAAAATTAGTAACGAATTACGCTTTTAAAAATTGTTAACGACAAATAGGAAGGCATAAATCTAGGGAAAATAGATATGTTTTGTGAAGGAACTTTTATGAGCTAGCGGGGAATTGAAAACAGCCTCGGTTTGTTAATAGGAAAAAAAGCCGCCTGTAACTCGTCACCGTTGGCTTCAATCTACCACTCCTCTATTGCTGCATCAAAGAGGATTTACCTGGTGCCCAGATCAAAATTCCTGAAAAAAGTCAAAATTTCTGAATAATACTTTCTCCACTGCATGAACAATATGAAACTCGCTTATAGAACACGACAAATAATGAAACCAAAACATTCTTCAGCGATATTATATCATAACATTAAAACTACACAAAATAATAACTTATTTACCCCTTCCGTTACTCCCCACGAGACCTCAAAAAATGGATGATCAGCAAATCACCACACTACGTACAAAAGTTGGCATCGCATGAGCATCCATGACGAGACTGTGACGTTTGATGCCATGGTCTAAAGTGCACAAGTGCACGCATACAACACACACAACGTAGCCCTTTCTTCGACCTCTGCATTCACAGCCACAACCAATATGCCCACTTGAAATCGCCAGTAAAGCACATGTGCCGCGAAATATCATAGAACTGCTTAAATTTCAGATAAAATGCTTTTATAATGCAATTTATTGATAATAACACACTCGCATAACAATAATAATAATAGCTATAATAATAAGATTAAATAATAAGAACAATAATGAATAACAATAACAGTAAATGATTATGAGAATAAACAACAATAATAGTTATAACAAATAACAATAATAATGATCATAAATCATTATGCACTATTGTTGCTACCCTTACAATTGTCATTGAACGGTTGCGTCTAATAATATGACACGCCAATTAGGCAGTACTAGGGTTTGCACGGGATCCCGGGATTACTGTTCTGATCCCGATCCCGGGATTTAAGTTTTGAAAAATCCCGGGACTTCGGGATTTGATAAAGCAGGTCAATTTGTGTGATTTTGACAATATGCTCATCTTGAAGCAAGCCTTAATCATTCCCATCGAATTTTATAGACAGTTATCTTTGCTGTTTGCCCTCTATCATTGATGTTCAGCTAAGGA